AACATCTTGGCTAAGGAACAAGGACATCTAAATCCGGTACTTTCTAATTACTATCTCAAATGATTTGCACCACAATTAATTTATAATCTGATTTAATTTTACTCATCATCTCTTGCGAAACAAAATACAGCTATGATGTCAAGGTTATTTGATAAGAACTATGAGCATTCGTATTTTTTTCACTCATAGTAAAACAAATGAGAGCAGATCAGTGGCGTAGCTAGGGTGGGACAGGTACAGGTAGAAGCTAGGACAGCACCTCCGTAGTACCACAACTAATTGAGGTATTGCTGAACCAAGCTAACTGTTAAACTTTCCGCCCCAATTTTGAGGGAGAACACCCCGGGGGGTGGTCCGAGGTTCTCCCGCCCCTCTTCTTTTTACCATCAACCACTTGAGAGGACTTTCTGAGATAACTGAGTTCTGGTATTAATAGTGTACACAAATCATATTGAGAAAAGACTGTCCTTGAAAAGTTCAACAACTGATGCTTCCAAAAGCATAAATGTAAGAATAAATGTCTTTTCTAAGGCGGAAGGTGTAATAAGCAAGTCTTTGGAGCTCCCGTCCATCAGCATTGCGTAGATAAATGAAACTGTTGAAACATTAAAATGAAATAAAAAAAATAATAAATAAAACAAATAAAATAAATAATGAAAAATAAAAAATAAAAAAATATAAATGAAATAAAATAAAAAAGACAAATATGGTTTACTAATTCAGAAGTCAAACAACAAAAATCAGCGTTAATTTACAAAATTTGTTGTTTGACTTCTGAATTAGTATTTATTCGGCGTGTTATTGTGTCTTAAATATGGTTTAGTAACATATGGAGATGAATAAGCATTAGATATGACAAATATCGAGTCCGAGTCTTTGGATATGTATAAGAACGTCTATGAGTCTATGATTTTGGCCCTAAGGTGTCTGTTCTTTATTGCATATTTCTTAAATGGTATTAGATTGTTGTTAGGCTTGATCAGATGTTTGCCGTCTGTTAGATTACAGTCAAAAATGTAATGATCAGGGTCACCCCTTTCGCCACATATGCAGAGATCCGTGGGGCACATGCCTCTGTCATGGAAGTAGATGGGGAAAGGACCGTGCCCTGTGATATACTGATTCAGAACATGGTCATATGTAGTGCCTCTTTGTCAGTTTTTGAGAAAAAATTGTGGACTCTTCTGCCTTGCAATGCAGAATCCCACTCTTCTTCTTGCCACTTTGAGTCGACAATTGCATTCAGTGTAAATTTTAAATGGGACTTGGGCCACGGGACATGAATTACCTCACTGTTGATGTTAGTCGTTGCATCCTTTGCAAGGAGGTCAGCTGCCTCGTTGCCGTCGTTTCCGTTGTGGGCTTTCACCCAATTGAGGATAAACTGGATTTCTGGGTGGGCACTTATTGTATTTTGAATATCCTGAACCAGTTGGTTCTTATTGTTTCTGTCCTTCAGGGCATATAATGCAGATTGACTGTCTGAATAGATAGCTATTGTCCTGAAATTATTTGATATAGCTTTATTTACTGCAGATTGAATTGCTGACAGCTCAGCTTGATAAACGGAATTTTCTGGAGATAATTTTCCTTGCCATATTGTTGGAATAGAGGAAGAAGAATAGATTATTGATGCTGCGCCCACTTCTCCATGAATTTTAGAGCCGTCTGTAAATGCTCTTGGACATTCTTTACTACTGATTGCTGAAGCGTCCGTATTGATAATTAAATTACAATACTTTGCAGGATGGTAGGTCAATGGTATGGCTGGAGACTCATACTTTGAGGCAGAAAAGGTGGAGCCGTTCAGGTAAGCATCTTCTTTCAACTGGAGTACTCTGGCTTTTATTGAATCCTTCGTCGCAATTAAATGAAGGGGAGGAATCCCAGTAAGAACGCATAGAGAGAAATTAGCTGTTGTTCTATAGGCTTTGCAAATGCTCAGGAGAAAAGGTCTCTGAATGGCGAAAAGTTTCCTTTTCTTCCTTTCTGTCATAGTCTCCGCCCAGATTGCAGCCCCATAATTCACTATACTTGAAATTACTGTAATAAATAAAATTTTTTGAATGTGAGGACGAAGTCCCCAGTTACTACCTTGCATTTTTTTGAAATTATAAGCGATTTGATTTGTCTTTTTCTGAGTCTCCGTGAGATGGTACATAAAATTAAGTTGGTTATCTATGTGGATACCCAGAAACTTCAGGACTTGGGTAATCTTAATTTTCTTTCCGTCCAGGGTGAAGGTGGGCTTTCTTAAGAGCTTTTGGCCTGGCTTGTTAAAAAGTATAGCCTTGGACTTCACTTGCGAAATGCAGAGTTTCAACCTCTGGCATTCTATGTTAAGCTGTTTGAGAGAATTGAGAGAACCGTTCACATTCCTTTCGAGGATGTCTCTAGTCCTACCACTAACAACCAACGCAGTGTCATCCGCAAACGCGAAGATCTCCGCATGATCGGGAAATTCATATTTTAAGACGTCATTAAAGGTGAGGGCCTAGAAATCAGCACTCAAGCAGGATCCTTGGGGACATCCTCTAGTAAATTTTTTATAGAGGCGGGCTTTCTTATTTAAATTTTTTGCTGGTTATCATGTTGTTATGAATGAATATGCTTTCTCTATTATGAATGAGAATATTGAGAAGATTAGAGGGAGAGTTGGCTTTATTAAGTGCATGTAATACTGAAGGCCACCATATTGAGTCGAAGGCACTTTTTAAATAAACACAAATAAGTGCACTATGTTCACCTTTTGATTTATTATGTTGGATTTGCTTCAGTATTTTATCAATTGCATGAATAGTGCTTGAGTTGGCTTTGAATCCGTATTGGTGTTTACTTGAACTGATTGTTTGATTTTTGATAAAGTGATATCTCAACCGCCCGGCAATAAGTCTTTCTAGAACTTTTCCTATGGCGGGCAGCAAATTTATTGGCCGAAAATGCAGAAGGATCTTCGGGGTTCCTATCCTTCTTCTCCTTCTTCTCGAAAAGTATAATTTGTCCTTTCTTCATGTTATCGGGAAAGGTCGACAATTCTAAGCATTTATTGAAGAAATTAAGAAGGATTCTTGGGTCATGATTGTGCATAATTTTTAGAATTTTGTTGTTTATAGAGTCGGGGCCCGGGGCTTTCTTATTGTTGAGGTGCTTGATAATATTATTAATTTCTTGTAGAGTGAAGGGGAGTCTTTTGAGTCTTTTGAGCCATTCTGTGAGAAATTGGAAAGTCTAATCTCTCTCTGCTCGGGTGTGTCATCTTCTGAATTGTCATCCATGAAGATAGCGTCAAGGATTTTGGTTGCTGCTTCTTGCGATAGAATCTGGGAATCAGGAATACTCTTGTTGTTGCTTGCGTGATCTTTGTTGGGAAGCGTAATTTTTGTGGGAACGAAGAATTTCCTAGTTGCCAATTTATGGAGGATGCCATACGTATCTTTATTTTGAGAACAAAATTTTTTTCCACGAGGTTAATTTAGCTTCCATAATTTTCTTTTTGTAAATCCTTCTTTGCTCGTTGTATCTTACGCATGCAGCATTCCTAGAATTGTCGTCCAGTGTAGATTTTATTTTCCTCCTTAAGGCTTTAGTTTTGTTCCTCTCTGCCCTCAACTCTTTTGTCCACCAATTTGCAGTGAATTTATTTCTTGGAGCTCTAATTTTAAAGCTCTGTTGGGATATTCTTTGTATGATTGAGAAAAAGTTACTGGAGATTTCATTTAATTGGTTGCGATCCCTGCAGTAGTTTATGTTTATTGCCGTTCAAAATGGAAGTTTTTTTCTTTAGCAAGGAGGTTTTTAAATTTCTTGATGCCAGATTCAGTTATGTGAAAACGTTTCGTGTGCTGGTACTAGAAAAAGTGAGATCAATCTCAAAGTGAATGAACTTATGATCCGAATTATTTTCCTCGTCCAATATCTTCCAGTTTTTAAGAAAGGTGCTGGCATTTGTGCTTAAAAGGGTCAGGTCAGGCCATCCTTTACTTGAGCATGTTTCGAAGGTAGGCCCTTGTACGGTGTCGTTGTGAAGGACGAGAGAGTTGGCAGCTATGAAATCTCCTACTTGTTCGCCTCTAGAATCTGATTTTGGATATCCCCATGGGACAGGGGGTGGGACAAGGAAGGACATTTGTCTCCGGGCGCAACATCCAAGGGGCGCCAAATTGATGCTACGAAATTTTTAATGAAATGTTTTCCATTCTTGGCACACAGAAGGGGGCGCAAATTCTTCAGTTGTCCCCGGGCGCTGGAAACTCTAGCTACGCCCCTGGAGCAGATCTTTTAAATCGTTACTAATTATGTGATGGGATATAAGAGTAAAATACCCTGCTTCTTTAATCAAGCATTTTTAGAAGTGTAACACATAAATGTGAAAGAAAAAGTCCATTTCTTCTATTTGTATACGGAACTAAATTGACAAAAAAGTTTTATAATTTTCAAGAAATATCATAATATCTTTAAATTTGAAGATAAATTATTACAAAGTTGCTAGTTAAACAAAAAGGAACAGTTAACTTACAAGTAGATGGTGCGCATTCCGCAGCCGACATACATAATAAATGTCACAAACGTCTTAATTACATTACAAATGTAAAATTTTTAAACTTGGGGGGGGAGGGGGGATCGTAATCTTAGTTTGGCGTAGATTTTAAATAAAAATTCTATCGTTTTCGAGGCCGATCAGAATCTTTCCTTCTGCAGTAAAACCTGTTTTGCTCCGGAAAAAAACGGGAACTCAGTTTCTATCAATAAACATAAGATACGGCTTTCAACAAGCGATTTACACTCCCCCTCCTTCTATTAAAACAATTCTCGCCACGTTCATCGAAATTCTCTTCACATTTTAAGAAGATAATACATCTTCTTCCTTCCTCTTTTCTTTCATTGACGTAAAACTGCTCACTTGCCATCCTGATATTTAGAAGACTGAATTACTGTATAGAGACATTAGGTTATTTTGAAGCAGGAAACATGCAAAATGAGCAATGCCCTCATAGGGATTCAAACCTGGATCTTTCGAATACCCAGCGAGTGTGCTGAGAAGGAAGAAAATACCTTATAACTATTTTAACATTCTCTACATGATAAAATTTAATTTACCATGTTGCAAAATGATTAAAGATGGGAATTGCCCAGTTTCCGATTATTTTAATAACTTTGTATTGCGTTGTATTTCGACAAGGCAGATTTGGTGGCCTCCCAAATCACCTTTTATTTTGAATTTCGTCATACATTTTTACTAACATTTTTATAATATTCAAAACTGCTTTATACATTTTTAAAATAATTTCAGCCACTCTTAAACAATTTTTAATCAAATTTGTTTTTATATCAAATTAATAACTAATTTGCGAATTTCTAGTAATAACATGCTTTCTTAAAGCAGCCATGATAATAAGAGGTTGAACTAACACAAATTCTACAAAAACCTTTATTGAAGAATTCCATAAGATGAATTTTTAGATGTTGCTTATTGTGCTTCAATGCAAAATATCAAAAACTTCTGTTATGATATTTTGCATCCTTTTGCGTACATTTATTCCATTTGTAGACATACTGTATTTATTGCAGATTATTCCATATTCCATTTCAGGGTGTATTTTACTTAATTTTCTCGTTCTCAAGAAAAGATACTAATTTTAAAACTCAACATTTTGTATCTGAAGAAAATATTCAGTATGAACAGACAATTATTTGAAAGCGTACTTCACAGAAAACCACATTTCGAAATTCCAGTTTAATGTCAGTAATTTCATTTTAAATTTTGGACTACATTTTGGGGAAACCGTTCAATTACTTTCGTGAGACACTATTAATAGTAAAACATTTATGCTACGAAACCGCTTTGTAATACGGTATAATAAAGTTGCAGTCAAAGCATCGGTCATTGCGCATAGCGGATAGCACAACCTCGAATAATCAAATTCCCGCATTAACTGAGGTCGATAGGGCAGAAGTGTAATACATTACTTATCTTCTAAGTGAGATTAGAAACTTTGCCACGAAGAGTGTAACCACAAGCGTAGGAAATTAAAACACTCTTTCAGATACAGATGGTCTCAATGCCACTGGAACCACCTGACTCGGGCATATTGATGCCCTGGAGAGAGAAGCAATTCCAACACAGAAGTACCTGTAAACAACAGCAGTGGCGGGGAATACCACTTCCGAGAGACATTTTATTTTTAAGAAAATAAAAAATGATAAATGTATTTCTTGCATAGTTATTTGATTTTAAAAGCTTTTTTAGTTCAAAAGGTAATGTTAGTCTCGAGATAAGATTTTGGATCGAATCAATATAAATAAGTCATTTCACTTTTTGATTCGAGTCTGTTGCCATTCGGTAAAAGGTAAAACTTTTCAGACTGAATCTCTCTGTTGTGGATTAACAAACTAAGCTGTTTGAAAGCAATAGATACAGTTTTTAAGAATATACGTTACTTAAACTTGGTATCGAATTGATTTAGATAATAAAACTGCATTTAATTCTCGATCTACCTAATTAAAAATATTCAATATTTTCATAGAATGACGTTATACATTTTTTTTTATTATTTATTCCATGTTTACAAAACAATAATGAAATTTTTATTAACAAACTCAACGATTTGAAGGCAAGCAGTGTATGAAATGAAATATTTTTATCTCTAGCACGCGAGCCTGTCTGTCGGAAATTCTGAAGATATGCTTTGTGATTTTGCTGTTGAATTGAATTTTATGTGGCGTAAGTGTCAAGAACTTACATCACATACGCGATATTTAACCCTTTGTTGCATCATGTCCACTCTAGTAGACAAAAGTTTAAATTTGTTTATTCTTCTGTAAATGCCTTAACAGATTCCATTCCTGTGTTTATTCATTCTATATTATTAGAACTTTCAACTGTCGATCATAGATGGTTGTATAGCATCACTAATCATTGCTATTTGGAAAATAGCTGCTACTTCTGTTTCCCAGTTAGTACAATTTCTCATAGTAAACATTATATAATATTGCTTA